GAGAGCAGTGAGCAATCTTGGCAGCCGGCACGCATTGTTAATACCAAGACCTCGTTCACTCACGAGCCTGGGACGTCCGCAGCGTGTGGACGGGCCCCGTCCCTTTCAAGGGAAGGGAACTTTAAATTGGAGTCTACTTTATTACCCAAGGTGGAAGAAACAGTCTTGCGCTTAGGATTTATACCCTGCCTAGCGCAGAAGTTAGATGACTTGATTGAGAGGATGCTAAAGCGTGGCGTTTAGGAAAATGTGAATAGAATTTCTCCCACTTGTCTTTTGTTGCCCCAGGGCTGACCTTTCCTCTGAAAATATTAACGGAAACCTTAAAAAAAAAAAAAAAAAAAAAAGAACATGAAGTCCCCCGGCTGCAGGAACGAGTTCAGAGCGTCTGTGTGCTAGCGGCTTGTGTTTTCTATGGAGGGCTGGGGAGTTCACCGAGCTCCTGTAATTAGGATTTTCTTGGCTTGTAAATAGAGTAGCCATATGTTCTAGATTTTTCTGGGGCAGTCCCAATTAAAATAGTCCTTCCTGTTGTTAGACCATGTGTGAGACCATGTGTTCTGGGTTTTTTTTTTTTTTTTCTTAGTGTCGAATGTGGTCAGCTTTCCCAAAATGGTCAGTATTGCCCTGATGTCTATTTCTGTTCAAGGTACAAAGAACTCGCTGTGTGGGGGTGGGGTCAGCATCCTACCCACTGTGGGAGACTCAGACGATTGTCTGCGTGTGTCCACGGACCCCGCTATGATTTCTTTGGGCGCCTCCATGGGCCTCGCTTCTCCCACATCCTTCTCCATCTACTGTGACAACCCTGGACGGCACACTGTGTACTCCTGTGCTCCTTGTTGTCTGTGTGTGACCTCCCCTCCTCAGCGCACTTTACAGCCTAGACGGCAGCCTGGAATGCTAGCTTCTCAGGAGGCCGCAGTAGGAGAATCACAAATTCAGTGTTTGCCTGGGCCATGGGGTGAGTTCAAAGATTACCTGGGCATCTTACAGAGACTCAGTCTGAAATTTACAAAAAGCAAAAAGAGGATTGGGGTTCTAGGCTAATGGTAGAGTCCTGCAGGGCATATGCATAGCCCTGGATTCAGTGCCTAGCACTAAAAAAGGAAGTGGGGGCTAGAGTGATGGTTCATCGGTTAAGAGCACTTGGTGCTCTTGTAGAGGGCCCAGGTTTGGTTCCCAGTACCCACCTGGCGGCTCACAACTGTCTGTAGCTCCAGGGTCCAGTGCCTTCTGGCCTCCGTGGGCACAGGCATGCACATGATGTATACAATACATGAAGTCAAAACAGTCATACACATACGATAAAATTAAATTAAAAAAGAACATCAGCTGGATTTTTAATGATCCTGAAGTAGTGTGTGTGTGTGTGTGTGTGTGTGTTAGTGTGTGTATATGTGTGTGTGTGCATCAGTTGACTGGATTTTTTCTTTTTATTTATTCTTTTTTCATGCAGTATATCCCGACTGCAGCCCTCCCTTCACTCTGCTCCTCCTGGCCCCTCTGCCTCCTCCCCTCTCCCCAAGATCCACTGGTTCTCCTTTTCCCTTCAGATAACTGAACTTTTTATTTAAATCACTAAGAACGATGACATCCTTAAAAAATGTCTACCAGGGTTAAAGAGGTGACTCAGCTGTTAAGAGTATGTGTTGGTCTTCCCCCGGGGAGCTGAGTTCAGTTTCCAGCACCCATGTCTGACAGCTCACAACCACCTGTAATTCCAGCTTCAGGGGATCCAGTGCCCTCTTCTAGCCTCCATGGGTACTGTATTAATGCACACAAACACACACACACATACACACAAACACAAATTTAATTTTTAAATTTTCTTTTATGAGTATGAATGTTTTGCCTACATGTATATCTGTGTGCCACGTGAGTGCCTGCCACCACAGAAGCCAGAAGAAGGTATTGAATCCCCCAGGACTGGAGTTTTGATAGTTGTAAGCTGTTGTGTGGGTGCTGGGAATCTAATCCTGGTCCCCTGGAAGAGCAGGTCAGTGCTCTTAACCACTGAATCATCTCCTCAGCCCCTACAAATAAATCTCTGTAAAAGAATTTTTAAATGCCAACCAGAAGTCTTCAAGGAACCTAAATATAAATAGTTCTCACCTCATTTCTTATCAAAATTTAAAATTGCATTTTTTCAGTATCTGATTTCAGGGTTTAGGCATGCAAACACATGCATGTGTGTATACACACACATTCTCTCTCTCTCTCTCTCTCTCTCTCTCTCTCTCTCTCTCACACACACACACACACACTCACACACACACACCCCAGAGGGTAAAAATCCAACTCTTAGCTCCTCTTATGTACTAAGCAAGAAAGGTGAATCTTATGGCTTTGTTATATTATCCTACACAAATACACCACTTCCAATCATCGATTCTTTCACTGTGCATCTCTTCTTCTAGACCCTTTGACCCATGAAGTCATTACTACTGTCCAAGGGCACTGTGCTAGATTAAAAGCCTGGCCAGGCCCCAGGCCATCTAGTACATCATTACAACATAGCAGCAAATAACCCAGTCCGTGGTCTGTCACTAGAAGCCTTCTCCATAGGACTGAGAAGATGGCTCAGGGGGTAAAGGTGCTTGCTGCTAAGCCTGATGACCTGAGTTCACACCCTGGGATCCACATAGTGTAGAAAGTTGTCCTCTGACCTTCATACCCACACACACCAAATAAACGAATAAAAGCTCATTCTCTTATACATGAAAACCCCTCATTAGCAGCTACATTTACATATATATTATATGTAGATGCCATCAGACACACACACACAGAGAGGGTGTGTGTGTGTGTGTGTGTGTGTGTGTGTGTGTGTGTGTGTGTGTG